TGACCTGGTAAGCCAGTGTCGAAAATTCACCCAATAAACAACATTTTCCCAAAGAACTTCTTCTACCGAATACTTCCCAAATGTTTAAATGGTCCGCATATCTAACTATCGATTTGTTAGCAGGACCTAGGATTGAATACCGATGCGGACGATAAGCACAGGCTGAATTAATCCATCTGTACCGATGTAGAAAAAAAGAATTTATTGATTTATTAATGAACAGAGGTGGTTACGTCGGAGAAACCAGAAGCCATGTTCTTCCCTTCACCCACGAGCGGAAGCGACCCCAGCGTAGCTCCTCTGTCAACTCCCCCCCCCGCGCCGAAAAAGCCCTTCATCCTCTCCGCCAATGAGACGGGCAGACGCTGCGACGAAGATGTCTACTTATTGAAACATTCGAAAGCGTTTAGCGAGAACGAATTCGGTGACAAAGAAAGCTCAATAACGGCTTTTGCTCTTACTGTAACCTGACATTGAAATATTTCCCGAAAAAAAAAGAATATACGAGTCAGTCAATAAAGCAAATTATCAGTCAAAACATTTTCGAAAGGTAGAGTCGTAAGGTAAAAAAGTTAAGGAGTTGCAAAAGACAAGCAGCTGGCAAATGGTCATTCTGGCTCCTTATTCTAGCCTGCTAGGACTTGTAAACACAGGCGAAGATGCACCACGAGACGACAGCCGACTCCGCGTAGGCGAAAACCTGCGCCCGAACAGCTAGCCGCAAATCTGCTCCTGTGCAGGTCAGAATATCCTGACAGATGGGAGACTTCAAGGCACTAATCAGGGCCCTCGATGCATCGCAGTGGAGCAACTAGATGAAAAACAAAGGAGGATAAGTAAAAATGAACCAACCAATTAAGCAGTATTGTTCATAACCGACAATACTACGAACAGGGAAGTAGAAGATGCGATTGCTGCAACCAGAAGTTTCGAATTCTGACATGAAACCTTCATCAGAGATGACCGCAGAATAGAGTGACTAATGGACACTTACCACAGTATTTATAGAAAGCAGGTACTTTCTACAAGACCGAAATGCATCATCGTAAATTTCACAAAATGCTAAATATCTGTCGGTACGAAAATAAGTAATGTGGCGACAAGAGACATTGCTCCCCACTGACCGAACCCTAAAAATCTCTAGAACAGTTATACTAACGTCTAGTAAGACAGGATTGCAAGATTCTCAGGACTTTAGGCAATATTTTGAGAAGAAGAATTTTTGAACACTGGAATAATAATTTTATTAGCCTGAGCTTTCGGGCT